AGACTTCCTGGCCATGCTCTGAGCTCTCTGAAATCCTTCCAATAAATTCCCTTTTGAGCGCTTAAGATGGTCGATCGAGTCTCTGTTGCTTGCAACCAAAAAACCCAGCTGCCACAAGCACCCTCTGTGCCATGCCCTGTTCCAAGCAGAATTTCATTTAATCCTCATAACAACTTATAAAAACCATAATGGACCCCATTTTGTAGATGAGAAGACTGAGGCCTGGAGCAATTAATTACCTTGGGCCAAGATCACACAATTAGTTAGTGGCAGAGTCAGAATTCAAACCGGGACCACAAAAATTCCTCTCTACTCACCACTAAGCACCTTCCAAGCATTGCCTTATTTGTGATTATCAGCCCAGTTTTACACCTGAGAAACCAAGGCCAGAAGTCACAGCCAGAGTAAATGGAGCCAAGATTCGCCTGTGGGTTCTGGGAGGAGGAGCTTAGAGCCTACAGCGGGTGAGGGTGACCTATGAGGTCACAATGTGGCCTCCCCAGGATAGAGTGGGGACAAGAGTGCCCCTCCCCCAGCCAGAGGGCAGGGCAGAGGCAGCATGGGCTATGGCCTCCAGTGGTGACCAGCCCTGCCATGGGAAACAACAGTTCTCACAAGAGAACCAAAGTGCCCAAGCAGGCCTGCAGGGAGAGGCCACCTGACATGGACAAGGCTGGGTGGAAACAGCAGTTCTTCAGCCATCTCAAGCGGAAGAAGCCAAACGTGAGTGCCAGGGTGTTAGGGCAGGTGGGAGTCAGGGGAACTTGAACAGGTGGGCAGGAGGGGATGCTGGGATTCTAGGCCTTGTGGGCATAAGTCCGAGGCGCATGGAAGGGCTTGGATAACCCCTCTGAAGATGGCAGTCCCAGGAACCCACGTAGTGTGGTTGGGTCCTAAAAGCCCAGAGGGAGGGCAGGGATTCAAGCAACCAGGAGAAATTAAGAGACGGGAGCCCAGGAGGGTGGGCCGGAAGGGATTCTCCCAACTCCCCACAGAGAAGTAGAGGGTTCTGCGTGGTGAATCAGCCTTAGTTGGTACCGCAGGGGCTATGGGCACAGGGAGGTCCTTTATGCCCCCTTTCCAGCTCCCAGCCTCAAAACATGCTACTTTTCCCCTTCTTCGAGTGGGCAGAGGCCCTGGAGGGGGTCCGGGGGGTGAGAGTCCCGCTACTAAGGCTGGGAGGGCAGGCAAAGATCCCATAATCGCAGACGGTGCAAGTCTCAGGAGGTCAGCTACGGTGGGTGAACGTTTCCAGAGGGAAGCCAGGTGTCCTGGGCAATGGGACCGGGAGAGACCCACTCCCGCCCCCGAGCACGGGAGGAGAGCGGGAGTCCTGGAAATGTAAAGGGGGCAGAGTGCTGGGAGACTGGATTTGGGTGGGTGAGTATCCTCAAGAAGAAGGCGCTGTACGCTCTTCCCCCTCACGCTCCCGCCCCGCCCCAGGCCAAGATCGTGCTGCTTTTCCCCTTGGACAAGCAGCAGCAGCTATCCGACGTGGCGGCGGGCTCAGGCGCGCGGCCCGGGCGTCCAGGCGAGGACGCGACGGGCGCCCCCGTGGGCTCCCCGGCGGCGGCGCCCACGCTGCGAGGAGCTGGCGACTGCGCTGATCGGCGCGAGGGCGCACGCGCGCGAGAGATGAAGACGCTCTTGGTCCTGCTGCTGCTGCTGCTGGACGCGCGGCTGCAGGAGGGGCGCTGCGCGGCCGGCGCGCCCGGAGCGGGGGGCGGGGCCAAGGTCGCGCAGGGCTGGCAGCGGCTCTACTCGCGCCTGCTGACCGACGTTCAGGCGAACCGCGAGGCCGACCCCGCCGAGGAGCAGCCGCGCAAGCGGCGCAGCTGCCCTCGCCCGCGGCCCTGAGCGCCCGGCCCGTGGCCCAATAAAGAGCGCATAGCACCCCTGGCGCCTGCTGGCTCTGTCTGAGGAGGCGCAGAGCTGGGCGGGGGTAACCGGGCCCAGAGCGAGACGCGGATGAAACGGTAGGGCTGAGGGCCGAGCAACGGCAATGGCTTGGCGCCAAAACCGAGCCTTCTCCTTCCTTGTGACCCAAGCGTCAGAACCCCTGCCCCCAGGTGGGGAGGGACACCCTGCCACAGTGGAGGGAAGCTGTTTCCCTCCTCCTCCTCCAACTCCAGGCCCGGGTCAGACCTTCGGGTTTGCAGGCCCAAGGGAGGTGAGTTTGGGCAAACCCCGGTGTGGGCACGCTAGGAGGAGGGACCTGCCTCCAGCCAAAACCTAACATCTTCAAGAGTCCTCAACATCCACAAGTCCTTCTTAGGCAGGGGGCGGAGGCAACAGACACCACCATCCTGGAAAAAACTGTGAGGGTCCCACGGTCAGCTGGGCTGGGGCCTGAGACTCACATTCTGCCTGTGAGAGCACCCAGGAGGAGAGGCTGGGGTCTGGGGGCTTCTGACCCCTCACTCCTACCCCACTCTGCTTGGTAACCCCCAAGCCACCTCATCACTTGTCCCTCACCCTACCTTGTGCCATCCCCTTCCCCACATTGCAGTCAGAGACTTCTTCCAAACCACTTAGCTGTCTGTAGGACAGTTGGCTCCGCTCCTAAGCTCCCACTGATTTCTCCAAAGCCCAGAGGGAAACGCCCAAACTTATTGTTGTCAAATGCAAGCTCAGCCCCCAGCCTTAGTCTTTCCCTCTAGGGCTTCTGAGTGACTCATATCCTCACCCTTGCTCTGGCTATATTGCCACTGTGGTCTCCAATGCAAGGTTCACCTCCCTAATCCACCCAGGAGAGGCCTGGCATGTTATCTGTAAGAAAGACCCAGCTACTTCTCATTTTCCTGGGCCCCAAACCCAGCTCCAGACCTGAGTGCTGCCCCAGCCCTACCGAACCTGTAGCCAGCCTTCCACTGGTGACCACCTCAGAATGTCCCAAAGGGGACAGATGCAGCAGGGGGTGAAGGTCCCAGCTCATTAAAGACACAGGCCCGGCTTCTGCTACAGATGCACTTCCGTTAGTGTCAACACAATCGACATCCCTTCCGTATCCCCTGCGTCAGGCTGGAGGTTGCATGACCCACAGCATCTCCCCAAATGCTTATAAAAACATACCCTTTCTTGCCATCCCTGTGGTTAAAATCAAGGTAACCATGTCCTTCAATGTGGCCACACATCCTGGCCATACGTGATTGGCCTAGGCTGGTCCTATCAGCCTCTTTCCTGGGACTGTAATTCAGGAGATGTGAGAGACTGTTTTCTACGTGAGCATGCATGGGCTGAAGCCAGTCTTCAGAAGAATAAAACAATGCAGAGCCTGTACACATCCTGCAGCTAGGCCCTGCGTCCAGTCTGTTCCTGAAACCTGATTTCATCTTTGTTCTTGGCGTCCATAAGGCCTACAAGATCCTTGTAATCAAATCCCTATTTTAGCTTAAGCTCAGTTGAGTAGGTCTTCTACTTGCAACCGAAATGGTCCTAAAGAGAATAATAGACTCTGCAGAGACTAGAAGTGGCCTTTTTCCTATGTGAGGATTATTAGTACGTTCTGGAGGGAGAAAGTGAGCCCAGAGAGAGATTAGGACTTGCTCAGGGGGGCACAGTGAGTCATCTTCAGAACTGAGTCACAAACTCCTCGGGTCCACTGGAGTCCATACATGGAAGCCCCTGCAGGTAGGGTCCCTATGTGGGCTGCCTGGGCCCCTCAGGGCTGAGCTCACATAGGTCCTATGAGTGGCTACAGATCTGTGATTAAGAGCTTTCCCTTCAGCATGAAGGAAGGTGGGGAGGGGGGAGGAGACTGCTGCACATCGGCCAGAGTACATTGGATAATCTGAAGCATTCTGGTTGTGCTGGACAGCTGAGGCCGGATCCCCTGATGCCAAAATCACTGCTCTTGGTCCTGTCTCAGGAGAGAGGATGGGTCCAGGGAGTTCTCATGGGAGAGGTCTGTGGAATACAGCAGGTACTGAGGACTGAGGTCACAATGAGTCCAATCCGAGTTCTTTTCCTTCCTTCTCTGACCACCCCCTCTTACCTTAAGTCAAGGCCAAGAGAGAGGTGCCAGGAGACCTTCTGGGGCTCAAGGACTGGGCTGGACTCCTGGGTCCCCAAGTAAGGATATATGTCCGGAGGACACTGCCACAAGGCCCCATCATTGTTAGAGCCCTGCTGCTCCCAGAGGCTTCTCATCTAGAAGGATTGAACGAGGCCCTCTCAACATCTACGTCCACCAGGACTGAGGGGGCGGAGCCACATAGCGGAGGCGCGTCCTCAGAGGGGTGGGCCTGGTGCAAGGTGGGTCTTGAGCCTTGAGCCACAGGAGGGCAAAGAGGGCCAAAAGCGGCCGGAGCCCGCAGGAGCGGAGACTGACGCTCAAATTAGTGGCGGGTGCTCGGGCCTGTGGGCAGAGCCAAGAGCTGAAAAGAGACGTCCAGTCTGGCCGGAAGAGTGGGAGCTCAGGACCAGAGGCCGGAGCCAAGAATTGAAGGCGCTAGTTCTGTAACCAGAAAGGCCAAGACTTAGGCCTGGGGCCCGAGCCAAGAGCTGAAAGGCGGGCCTCCAGTGAGGCCGGGGGCGGGGCCTCTGGCGAAGGGCGGGGTCGAGCCGGGAGAGGCGCCGTGGCGTCGGTGTCCCGGAGGTCCGGGAGCCGCCGGGTCCGTCGGCTGCCCTCGCTGGGCCGCGTGGCGGTGGTGGTAGACCAGGGCTCGGGCTTCATCAAGGCGGGCTTCGGGGGTGAGCGCCAGCCCCGCCTGGTGCTGAAGAGCTCCAGCCTGGTGCCCACCTGGGACCGGCCGGTGTGTACCCGCGCACCCGGCTGCGGGCTGGCGGGCGGCGTGGAACGGGCGCACCCCATCAAGCATGGCGTGGTGGTGGACTGGGAGGCATTGGAGGGGCTGTGGGAGCGCCTGCTGGTGGGCGGCCTGCGGGTGTGCCCGGAGCAGTGGCCCGTGCTAGTGAGTGACTCGCCGTCGGCGCCGCCCGCGAGCCGCGAGAAGGTGGCCGAGCTGCTGTTCGAGGCCCTGGTGGTGCCTGCGTGCCACATGGCCAGCACGGCGTTGTTGGCGCTCTGCTCCACTGGCGCGTTCAGCGGGCTGGCCGTAGAGGCAGGTGCAGGCGTGTGCCACGCCACACCCGTCTATGCGGGCCACTCGTGGCACGAGGCCACCTTCCGGCTGGACATCGCAGGCAGCACCCTGTCGCGCTACCTGCGGGACTTGCTGGTGGCAACGTGCCCTGATCCATCGCTGCGGGCCTTGCCCCGCAAGGCCATCACACAGCTCAAGAAGCGCTGCTGCTATGTGTCGCTGGACTTTGAGGGTGACCTTCGTAACTCTGACCGCCACCATCCGGTCAGTTTCTGTTTAGGCAACGGGTGCTCTTTCTGCCTCAGCAGCGAGCGCTTCCGCTGCCCGGAACCCATCTTCCAGCCGAGTCTGCTAGGCCAGGCCGAGCCAGGACTGCCTGCACTGGCCTTCCAGGCACTGCAGAGGGTCCCTGCGACTCTAAGGACGCGGCTGGCCGATACCGTGGTGCTGGCCGGTGGTTCCACGCTTTTCCCTGGCTTCACTGAGCGCCTGGAAATGGAGCTAGAGGCGCAGTGCCGGAGGCATGGCTATGGGGCACTGCGGCCTCACCTGGTGGCCAAGCCTGGGCGTGGCACAGCAGTGTGGACAGGTGGCTCCATGGTGGCCTCCTTGCGTTCCTTCCAACAGCGCTGGATAACCCGGGCCATGTACCAGGAGTGTGGCTCCAGGCTGGTGCACAAAGTGTTCAACTGAGTCATGTTGGACTGGAGGGGAGGTGCCACATGAGGGGCACAGTGGGCTGAGCTATAGCTCTATCAGAGGCATTGAGTGCCAAATAAAAGTCTCAAGTGATTGGAGGTGGCAGAGTCATCATGTGCTGATGGGTCACTCCTACCCCTTACTGAGCCAGGAAGAGGTGGTCGAGATCCCAAGGACCCTCACTTTGACCTGCAGTTTGGATCTACCATAATCAGTGCCAGTTCAGAGAATACCAGTCCAGGTGCCTACCCCCAGGGCCCCATTTCCATGGCAACAAGGAAGATAACACTCCCACTTGTGTCCAGGCCACAGATATGGAAATTATCACAACACATCATGGAAATTATCACAACTGCTCATCATGTACTATTTGGATTCCCATCCTATGCTAAGCCTCAACGGCAGAAAACCTACTAAAACCCATGGAGAAGCAACCAGAAAAGGAAACCCTGTCCTTAGCTGATCATTGACTCACTGAAGGCCTCAGTTTCCCCTTCTGTAAATATGGGGTCACACACAATCCTCACTGTTCCCTCCTTGCCTCCTTATTAAGAGCTATGGGACAAAGGGAGGTGGAGACATTTCTTAAAAGAAACATACAAAGGGAGGGGTGGCTTGTGTTTTTGAAGTCGCTCTCCAAGAGCCTAGAGCCCTGGCTGTGAGCACTGTTTGTGCTCGTATACACACGTGGCCACGCATGCATACAAACACTTGGGTGCTACATGCCTGCCTGCCTTACACGTGTCCTCAGGCCAGGCCCTGCCCCACCAGGTTCCACACACTAGCATGGGCCTGTGGCTGTGTGTGAGTATGCCCACCTCCCAGCCCATCCCTGCTGGGTCCTGGGCTTGATACCCCACAATAGTTAGGTCTGGCCAATAATAAAAACAGCAGCAGCAGGAGCTCCAGGTAGCAAGTGGCTGCTGTGTGCCAGGCACAGCTCTGGGTGCTGGGAATAGAGAACACGAAAGGCAAAAATCCCTGCCTTCATTCTCATTTCTCTGTCACATCAAATGTATGGAGGTAAGCTCTATTATTATCCCCAGTTTACAGATGAGTAAACTGAGGCCCAGAGAGATAAAGGTACACAGCCAGAATGTGGGAGAGAACCCAAGCCTCTAGCTTCACAGCCCTGAGCCATGACAGTAGAGGCTCCCATAGGACAGCAGACACCCCTGCCCTCATTCCAGGCCCTCCACCATCAACCCCTCCACTCACCAGCTTGGTGGTGTCCATGGCAGTGAGCACGGCACAGTTCAGTGACTCCAGTGCGGCCAGCACAGGCCGGTAGACACCCAGGTGTTCTGAGAAATAGTCTGCAGGCAGAGAAGGTGCTCAAAGGTTCCCAGACCACCCCCTACTCCTGCTCCGCGGCCTCATTTACCCAACCTGGGATTCCTCAACAGCCAACCAGGCCTCATATCCTGAGGCAAGCCCATCTTGTTCCATTAGGAGAGAAGGAACAGCCTCCAAGGAACATCATGCCCACCTGCCCAGGGGCGCCAGGAGACCAGAGCTCCCGTGGACCTACTCACCACATAGTTTCTCCGTTTCCAAATTGCTGCAGGAAAAAGAGGAGGCACGCTTCAGTCCCACAGACTTAAGCTTGGTGACCTGAGACTTTGAAGCCAATGTTCCTCCCACTGCCCACCCCAGCTCAGCCTGATGAGGAGGCTGCTTCTGCCTCCACCCAATTTAAGCTGCTCAGTGGGCCAATGGGGGCAGCAAGGGTATTACTGAGGGCGAAAATTCAGACCCACTCTTGGCCTCCAAGGGGAACTCAGGACCAGGGAGAGAAATGTGGACACAGGCCAGAGAGGAGTATAATCAGAGCCGGGAAGGGAAAACCAGGTCTGGGTAAGTTCAGAGAAGGCCTGGGGTATTACTTGGTAGGTTAGGGAGGACTTCCAGAAGGAGGGTGCTTAAGTTAGGCCTTCAAGGACAAGGAATTTGATCTGAGTGTCTGGTGGTGGGGAGGTGGCAACATTGCAAATAAAAGGTCCAGCCCAAGCCTCAGAGTAGGGAAGGGCATGGAAGCCTTGAACGCTGACCCAGAGTTTGAAATTTATTCTAAGGAGATGGGGGAGAGGGAGGGACAGCTGTGTATGTGTATGCACCCATGTGAGGAAGCATGGGGAGGGAAGCATGCAGACTCCTGCTAAGGCCCGTAGATGTGGGAGCACACACGGGGAGGTATGTGCGTGTTCATGAACCTGCATCGATGCGTGGAAGCAGGTGAGGCCCAGCTATCCTCAGGCATCCCCTTGTCCCTGCAGGAAGCAGGAATGGGGAGGGGGGTGGGGGGACACCTGTGGGCTGAACCACGGCTGGTGACTCAGACCGGGCTATTTTGGGGTCCCAGCTGGAAGGAGTGTGATGGACAAGGCTGGAGCCAGGGAGGGAGTGAGTGGGCGGGTAAAGCTGTCATCAAGCCCTAGCACCTCTCTCCCTATGCAACCCCCCATCCTCCATAAGGAGGCAGGGGACACCGTGGGGCTGGGAGAGCCTAGCTTCACATCTACACCCAGCTCACCCACCCGTTCTCGTACTCACTCAGTGGAGGGCCCATCAATGCCGCTGAACAGTTCCCGCAGCTCCCCAGGGCTGAGAACCCCATCAGCAAAGTAATTCTGGAACTCCTCAAATGAGAGCTTACCATCATCTGGGGTGGGAGCAGAGAGCAGAGCTGGTATCCCTGACCCCTGGCTGCACCCCTGCCACCAGCTTCAGACCCCCTAAAGCTACTTGGCCAGGTGGAATGGAATTCTGAGCTTGGGGGGACTTGGCTGTTGGGGACAAAAGAGTCTCCAGGGGTGCCCACTTAAGGCAACAGGGTCCACTCTTCAGGCACCCAAAGGACAAGGCAGCACACACATGGCATTGCATAGGGACTCAATAAATGCTTGCCAAATGAAGAAGCAAATGGAAAGCCTGGGACATGGCCAGGTCATGGCAGAACCTAGACATCACTCGGAGGACTTGGGGGCTCAGTCTCTGCCCGCCAAGCCTGGCTCCAGGCTGCTCTGTACCCACACCCTTCACAGAGAAGCCACCAGGAGGCAGATGAGATCTTCCTAAGAGTTGGAGCCCCTGCAAGAAGCCGCAGGCTGGCAGGCTCAGGAGGGAATGCCCTTCTCTTCACAGGGGCTATGGAATAGTCTAAGAGCACCAGGGGGATGGCCAAAGACACCGGGAATTTGCCTGTAAGGTCTCTAAGCAGATGGGGTTGGGGGAGCAGAGCTGGGGGGGTGGGGTGGTCTGAGCCTCCCCAGACAGAGTGCTATGATCCAAATGTGTGCTGGCTGATCAATGGGTTGGGACACGATCCTGTCTCCAGGAGGCTGAAACACCAAAGGGTCTGAAGACCCCAGATGGAAGTAAGGCCAAGGCTGACCGGCTGCCTCAGCTCAGACCCTCACCTGGCCAATCAGGACACAGTGGGCTGCTCCAAGTTGTGGGCAGCAACTTGATCGTGGGCTCCCTTGAGGGCTCCTGCTTTAGCTTTCAAGGTTTTCCCAAACCAGGGTCTGAGACTGCCCAGGACCCAGAGCAGGGGAAGCTGATTCCCAGCAGCATCCTGTGCAAGCCTTCCCTGGGTCCAGGTGGTTAGTCATATGGGAAGTTACTGAGCCCTCTAAAGATCTAACAGCACAATCCCCTACAGCCTCATCTCCATCACCCAACCTTTCCAAGCCCCTTACGCAGGAAGCTTGGAACCAAGCATCACACAGACCTGGATTCAAGGCCCACCACTTAAAGGCTGTGTGACTTCAAGCAACCTGCTTCACCTCTCTGGGCCTGTGCTCCTTAGTCTGTAAAATGGGATGAAGAATTCCCATCTAGCTGTTGGTTGTGAGGACAACATGAAATCATATAGAAGAGTTATCCATACCTGTGCCCGGGGCATTGTGGGAGAGTATGCCCCCACCTCCAGCCTCTGGCTAAACCACATTCCCTCCACTCTCCATCCTGCCAAACTGAATTCCAAATGGCACCCCCTCTGGGAAGGACGGCTTGACTGATTCTCCTGATTTGGGTCTTCCCAAGATTTTTCTCCATTCTAGACTGTGCTTCCAAACCCGTGACACTCCCCTGAGCCTCCTTGATGGCCCCCACCCCTCCCCACACTGTAGACTCAAGGGAAGGCACACTCACCATTCTTGTCTGCTCTGCGGAAAACCTGGAGGACAAAGGGGCACAGACAGGAGCTGTGAGTGCCGCCTAGGAGGCAGGATGCCCCCACCCAGCTCATCAGGGCCCCAGCTGGCCAGCCTACCCCCCCACAACCTTGCCTTTCCTCTTGCCCAGCCTGGTCCTAAACCCCTGCCCAGATCAGCCCTGTGGGAGGCTTTCCAACAAGGAGAGCACAGGAAGATCACACAGCAGGTCTCACCACTTGCTCACATTTCCTGCAGGTCCTGGCCCCACAGGGGGTGCACACCAGCTTCCAGCACCCCCACCTCCCACACCCAGAGGCTACCCTGGGTTCTGTCTGAGGTATGAGCCCTTGCCACAGTCCCAGCTTGAAGAAGGTGGGGAAATGGGCCAAGTTCCTGGGCACTACTTGTCCCAGACCTGAACCCCTTAACTCTGCAGCATGGCCATGGTCCATCCCAGACTCTGCCCACTCAAGGCTCTTTCCCTGTGTGCTTAAGACCCTGATATGCAAACAGTGGCTAGTCCTTTCTTTGTGGGTGTCTGGGGTTAACCATTCCAGGGCCAGGGCTTCTTATGAGGCTGATTCAGTGTGAAGGCCTTGGGCAGGCTCGCACACGCGTGTGTGTGTGCACGCACACACATGTGCAAAGGGGAGTGGGAGTGGCAGAAAGCAAGGGTGGACAGATTGTATTTACAGAGAAGCAGAGATGAAGGGCAAGAGAGGCAGAAAGGGACAGAGTCAAGACGTGATCAGGGACCAGAGACTCCCAGGTCATCCAAAGCAGCCCAGCAAATGGGAGACCAGCACACCTGGCAAGGAGGGGCCGGCCAAAGTCTGGACAAAGAACCCTTAACAACTCCAGGTCCTGAATGCCACTCCTCTCCAGCTGTTACCTCTGGGTCAGTGAAGCATTGGGATGAATCTAACCCCTAGCCAGAAGCCTGACTCAGAGGTCTGCCACTGTCTCGGGTCACACAGCAGCCTAGTGTGGCCTGGCTGGGGCAGACGGAGATGGCAAGAAGGGGTGCTATGCTGTGAATGAGGGCACCTGGGGCCACACTCAAACAAGCCTCTGCCTCTGTGTGATTGTGGACATGTTCCTAACTCCTCCGGCCTTGGTTTTTCCATCTGGGAAGCGGGATGGACAGATTCCTTCCATCCAGGACTGCGGTCAAGGTGCTGAGTCACTGGGGGCAGCGGGGAGTGGACAGGAGTGCCGTCTTTCCGTCTTTCCCACAGGCAGAGACCTCTGAAGCTGGGGGCGGGGGGGGGGGAGTGAATGGGCCAGGATGGGGCTGAGCACTAGGGGAGGAAGGGGCCTGAGGCAGTGACTGAGGCCTGGCTAGGCTGCCCTTAGTTGGTGCCCCTGGGGGCGCTGCAGGGCCACCTGCCACACACAGGAGGGAGGTACAGACCACTGTGGGCAGTCCTGACGAACTATGGGACTCCATGGCCCCTGGGTCAGATCTATGGGACTCTGGGATCAGCCCTGGATCAGCAGTCTGAGGGGCTGTTTATTCTTCCAGCCTCCCCTGACTGGGTCAGCCCAGCCTGGGATTGCCATAGAGGGGACTGCTCCTGTGATCAAGTGTTGACAGCCCCCACTGCATCAGACACATAAATGGGGTGGCCTCGGTGGGGGGGGGGGGGGGGCCAGCAGCAGGGGCAGTGACACCGAACCAGGAGATAAGGAGAGTGAGAGACTGAGAACGGACACAAAAGAAAGGAGACAAAGATAAGGGAGAACGGAGACAGCAGGGTCAGAGAGAGATGGTGAGAGGCAGAGACCCAGAGACAGAAGCAGGGCCCCAAACAGACCTGGAGAGAGAGAGAGACGCAGAGACGGGGGTAAGGAGAGACAGCGAAAGACTGAGAGCCCAGCGAGACACAGGGAGAGAGCAGACAGACCTGGAGAGACTGACAACCCCAGGGCTAGAGAGCCTTCGCCCCCTGCCCGCTCCCCACTCACGTCCTGGAAGAGCGCGTGTCCGGCGGGCCCGGAGGCAGGCGCGGGCGCGGGGGACCGCCGAGGCTCGGGCGCGGGCGGCCGGATCAGGCACACGGTGAGCAGCCCCGCGCACGCCATGGCGCCGCCACCCACTCGGCTCGGGCTGGGCTGCGGCTCCGGGTTCTGGACGCCGCCGCCTCGGACTCCGGGGGACGCCCGCCCATCGGCGCCGGCGCGGACGCCCGGGGCCCCGCCCCCCGCGGCTCCCCCCCCCCCCCCCCCTGGCCCCGGGGGCCCCCTCCCCGCCCGCCCCTCTCTAGGGCCTCGCCTTCCCGACTGGAAAGGCAAACTCCAGCCTCCAGGTGGGCAAGAGCTGCACAACGTAGAACTCCCAACACCTTTCGCCTCTGTAGCTGTTACCAGAGGCTCCCGGAGGGTTGGCAACTGTGGAGTAAGGAACGACCCGAGGGGTCACTGTCAGCCGGGACCGGCTGTGTAAATGACAAGTGACGGTCTGCTTGGGAGTACTACACAGCCAGCAACAGAACAGAGGGCTGCGCGGGGCGGGGGCACCGAGGGCAGGTCCCACACCACTGTAGGGTCGACAAAGCAAACTGCAGAACAGACTGACACCTTGTGGGTAAGACCTGCAAGGGACTTCAGCTGAGCGTCTGTATCCTTTTCTGCAAAATGGGGGTAATAGTAGATACCATATAGGATTGTTGTGGGGACTCACTGACTGTAAAGGGCTTAAAATAGGACCTGGCTCAGAGAAAGCTCACCTAAGGGTTAAACAGATCCGTGTGGATCGCCTCCCAGTCACCCTCCCCTCCCCTTTCAAACTCAACTCGGCCCTTTTTACCCTCCCCTCTGCCATTCTGACCCCTCTTCAGTTCATCCAACACATAGCAGCCAAAGGGAGCTTTTAAAATATAAAACAGGGTATGTCACTGCTATCTCAGGCTCACGAGTGAGTCCTTGTCCCCTGAATAAACCCCAACACTGAACTTCTCTCCACTCTAGCCCTCACGTCACAACTCCACACTGGTTTCTCTGAGGTCCTCTGTGCCCCTCTCTCTCCTGCCCTGGGGCCTTTGACCACAATGCCCTGTCTGCTAAGTGGGTTCTTATTTTCCTCCTCAGGTAACTATCCTACAGCTCTCAGCTCAAGCATCACTCCTTCCAGGAAACCCTCTGATCTTCCCATTTGTGTAAGTCTCTTCCAACAGATCCCAAGAGTCCCATGAGGGCAGGGAATGTGTCCCCAGAACCTGAAAGAACCTGACACATAATCAGCCTGTTGTAATTATTTGTTCCATATTTATAAATGCCCAGAAACATCTGGAAGGAACACAGCAATCAGAGTGGCCTCTCTGGGACTGAGAAAGGGAGGGGAGTTCACTTACCACTTCACTGGATCAGTTTTTAAGTTAGGATAAAAATGGTGATGAAGTCTACCTTTCTTGTGGCTGGGAGGCTCAAATGAAATGAAACCAAGCAGGGGCAGGGAGCGGGGAAGTAGACAAGGGGTGTTTTCCCAGCAACCTTTACCTCTCCCTCTCTCAGATTTGCTCCCAGAACACAGTCCCAAAACCCAGCCCAAACACCATCAAAATATTTATTAAAACCAAAGCAAGAGGGAACAGAGCAGTTAGGAAGGCAAATCAAAGTGCAGATTGGAGGGTGGGGCAGAGCAAGAAGTGGGGTAGAGGGGGCACTTCAAATGCCACAGGAGGGGCCCCTGTGGTCTGGGCTAGGAGCAGCCCTTCACCCACCCCTCCTGCCCACCCTGTCAGTGAAGGTCCCCCACTCACCTCTCCCATCTCACATCCATCCTGGGGGGCAGATGGGGTCCTGCAGTGACCCCCTGGGAAGGGACCACCCCCTCAATCCACCCATGGCTGTCAGTCAGTCAGTCTGTCTCCCTCCCTCAATATCCCAATAAATAAACCGCTCAGGCCTCAGCTCCTTCGGAGTGGGGCAAATTACAGCTTAGGGACCCCCGCCCTCGCTCAGGCGTATAGGGAGTTGGGGCATCAGTCCCACATCCTTCCTACCCTTAGCTGGTGCCCCAGGCTTGCCAAAGAGGCCTTGATAAATAAATAACGCTCCATTAAAGCTTCGATCAGAAAAACCTTTTAAGACGACAGAAGTGCTCTCGCTGTCCTGCAAACAAGCAGGCCAAGGCCTCTCCACCTGGCCTGGTCAGCACGCAGGATTCTGGGGGCAGGTGGCCACCCTGGGCCTCGTGGGGCCCCTGGAGCAAGGAGACCAAAAGTGCAGTTAGAGCCCCCACCACGCGCACACATGGACTCATGCACACACACGTGGACACACTGGGGCGTGTTTTCAGTGCACGCACAGATGTGTTCACCTTCATTCCCCGGTACATGCACACACACATGCTCACACACCACTCACCCCGTGTACACACATGTTGGGTGCTGGGTGCATGCACATACACACCACAAACAGAATCCTTCCCTTCCTGGCTTGCTCAGCCTCCTGGCCATAGCCAGACTCCAGAGCTAGAAGCTTCCGGAGATAGGGGAGATAGCGTATAAATTAAACATTTCCAATCGGGCTGGGGGGACGGCCAGGGGCAGGGGGCTCCAGGGCTGCAGAGACAGGGTGGGATCTCAGGAGGCCCTGGTCCCCCGAAGCCCCGTCAGAAATCCAAGGGGGTAAGGTCCCCAAAGTCACAGTCGAAGAGGTCTTTGATGCCCTCACCCTCCTCAAGGCCAAAGTGGTAGTCGAGGGCCTCGTGGGGAGGGGACAGGCTGATGAACTCCTCAGGGAGGAGGCCGGAGAAGTCCTCCCGCACATGCTCCAGGAGCGAGTCGGCCGCCACCAGCGGGGACAGGCGGTCCTCGTCCACAGGGGCCCGCAGGCCACCCATCCGGGAAAGCAGAGGTTCTGGGGAGATGGGGGAGCATCACAGGCCGGGGACGGCCCGCGGGGAGGGCAGAGGGGGCTGTCACGCCTGCCCACCCAGCTGGGAGAGGAGCCCAGACCCACCCCACCCAGCCACCCACCCTTCACCCACCTTGCTCCAGGCTGAGCAGGGACTGGCTGGGATCCGCAGCAGGGGATGAGGAGGGAGATGACGGTGGTGGCACTGTGGTAGCAGGGTCAACTGCCCTGTCCTCCTCCCCAGAAGCTGTCCCCTGGGATGAGGTCTTCCCAGGGCTGATCCCGCCTGCACTCTCCTCAGGGCACAGGAAAACGTCAATGGGGCCTTGTTTGCTCTTAAGGGAGATCTGAAAGGTCTGGGTGGAGGCAGCAGGCAGGGTATATTGAGGCTCAGCTGACCACCAGCCCACCCCAGCCTGTCCTGGTCAGGTCTGGAGTCCCGAGTCTCACCTCTGAGGAGTCTATGGCTTGGAGCTGGGTCTCTGGAGGAGCCTTAATCACCATAACCATCTGCTCTGCAGGGTCTGCGATGCTACGAAGGTCCTGGCAGGTCACATAGGCCAGGGTTGGTGGAGTCAAGGACCACGTGATCTATGACCTCTGGGGCCACCCACTCAGAGGATTCATAAGAGCCCACACCTACCTAGTCTCTCTTGTCCTCTCCATCCCCCACCCCAGGGCCTGGCACATCGTTGGTGCTTGGGCCTATCTCACACCTTGAGCCCCAATTTCCACATCTGTACAGTGAGACCATTCTACCCATCTAATCCCAAAGTAATGATGGTTGCCTGCAATAATTTCATGTAAGTTATGTAAGACAACTCCAGGCCTGGTGCTGAGAATTTATTCTGACCCATGATCTTGGTGTCAATTGGTGGCTGTCTCCAAAACTTTTAAACATAATTTGGGTATTTACTAACAAAACAAAACAAAACAAAACAAACCCCTTATCTGAAAATAAAGTTTCTAGGGGAGCCTGGCTGGCTCAGTCAGTGGAGTGTGCAACTCTTAGTCTCGGGGTTGTGAGTTCAAGCCCCATGTTGGATGCAGAGACTACTTAAAAATAAAATCTTAAAAATAAGTTACTATTTTTCTAGATGAAAGACAAACAAGAACTTAGATCTCTAGCTATGAAGCTATGGCCATGTACTGAATCACTACCAAATAAATGTTTACTATTGCTTGTACTAAGTTTTCTTGTTTTAATCTGTGCAATTTCAGAATTGATTACTTTCCCCTTTTACAGATGAAGCTGAGGCTCAGAGAGGTTAAGTAACTTGTCCAGCATAACAACAAGTAAATGCTGAGCCCAGAACTTGCATCCAAAGCCAGAGCCCTCTCCTGAATCCAGGGCCCAGGGTAACCTCACAGTCCCACTTGGATGGGACGCCCACCCGCCAGTCCTGTCCTCCATGGGGGCCATCCCAAAGATCCAAGGATATCGCTGGCTGTCAGAGTCCTCAGAAAGCAGCCGCAGCTGGGCGGTACAGATATGGATGAGGTGGTCCAGCTGCCGCTCACTCTCCTGCAGTTGCCGGAGGTCCTGGGTCAGTCCTTCAAGCCGCCCACTGATCCCCACTGCTGCATGGCTGCCTCTGCAGGAGGCAAAGAGAGGGCTTGTAGCTCCTGGCCCAGGAGCCCAGACCCTCAGCACCCAGTCTGTTGCTGCCTGTTCTGTGAGATCTAAGTGAGCCCCTGTCCCTCTCTGGGTCTGGCTTCTCACTGGGAAGCAGCAGAGAGCTGAACTGGGCTCCAAGTCAGACTGGCAGGGGTCTAAAGTTGGGCCTGAATGTCTGTAAACACCAGCATATCCCTCACAGGGAGCAGGATAAGTAAATGATGGTGCAGGCATGCTGTGGAATACTATAAAGTTGTATAAAAGGATGAGAATGCATCGGATGTACAGGCGTGGAAGCACTTCCAAGACATGTGGTCAAGTAAAAAGAAAAAAAATGATGCAGAATGGAATCATCTGCTAAAAACTGAAAAGGCAGATGTGTCAATGAGAGAGGAGTAGGATGGCCGGGGGGGAGAGGAGAGGAGAAAAATAAAACAAGAATTAACAAGAACAAAGCAGATGTGTTAGACAATCCCATTGATGGCAACAGAGGGCAGAAGAGTGATCACCTAACGGTGTGAGGGGTGGGCAACAACTGGGAAGCAGCACAGGGAACTTTCTGTGGTGCTGGGTGTGTTCTTTATCCTGATCTGGATGGTGGCTCCCCAGGCAAAGAAATACATGAAGGTGCATTAAGCTGCATATGTGAGATCTGTGTACCTTCCTCTACTCCCTAAGCCCCAGTTTCCCCAGCTATATGACAAGGATGCGGGCAGCCACGGTGGGTATTGCTCTCAGCTCCTCCAGGCTGGTCCAGCCCTGTGCCTCAGCTCTGCCTGCCCTCCTGTTTGGCTGGTACCTACAGCCACTGGATGTGATTCTTGGACTTCTTGGCAATGAGCTGGATGCCCTCGAGGACATTGGTGATGTCATAGATGCGCCGTTTCTGCACCTTCAGCACCTCAGCCGCCCAGTTCAGATCAACAACACCATCAGCTGAGCGGCTCAGCAGCTCCAGGAAGCGTTTGGTGGTCAGATTCAGCGATGTCTCATAGCGTGACTTCTCCCCTGGGGATTTCACACCTGGGGGTCCAGGCGAGGTGGCTCCCTCAGCAACCCCCCACCCCAGGCAGGCCAGCCTTCCTGGCAATGCAGGGCAGAGGGATAGGGGTGGGAGGGATAGATGGCTCCTTCCCCTTGGCAAAGCTGACGGGGAGGCCCTGGGGCTGCCGCCTGCCAACCACATGGCATTCCTTTTCTGGCTGGGGAACTCCCCACCCCCCAGGGTTTGGAAAGCCATGCCGGGCGGCCACTCCAGCTGCCCCTCGGGGCCTCCAGAGGCCTGGCTCAGGTCCAGGCCTGACAGCCAGAGCTCACTTTGCAAGCATATTTGTCTGTCCACACCCCCAACTTGGGCCGGGTCAGGGGGCCTGCCCCAGCCTAAGTTCTGTGGGTACCTTTTCCTGGGTGGCGGCCTCTGCCCCGGGCTGGCCCGCTGCTCTCGGCCAGGTACTGATGGTCAGTTTCCAGGTCCAACCTCCGTTTTACCTGTGGTAGAAACAATGGGATGATGCCCAATAACCAGAAGTGAGGCCAGAATAGACCTAATTTAGGGCTTGGTGCTCCTGGGCCACCCCTGCCCCACTTTCTCTACCAGGCATTCTAAGTGTGTGAGGGATCCCAGGGGACACAATCCTACCACACAGGACAGATCACTCAAGTGGAGGGCAGAAGACCCGAGTTCAAGTTCTAGCTCCACTACTATCTCCCTGGGGGCCTGTGGTGGTTTAAAAATATGTCTGCAAATTTCTTTCTTTTTTTTTTTTTTTTTTATTTATTTTGAGAGAGCGCGCGCGCACACGGGGAGCACGCATGCACACACACATGCACAAGTAGGGGAGGGGCAGAGATGGAGAATTCCAAACAGGCTCCACGCTGTCAGAGCAGAGCCCGGAGTGGGGCTCAATCCCACGCACAGTGAGATCATGACCTGAGCAAAAGTCAAGTTGCTTAACCGACTGAGCCACCCGGGCGCCCCTGTCTGCATATTTCTTGGTACTCTTCCTTTCGAAAAACAGGGCCTAATTCTCTTCCCCTTGAATATAGTTCTGATCTGGTATCTTGCTTCTAATGAGCAGCGTGATGGAAGTGGTGACCAGTCACTTCTCAGACGGGGTCCAAGATGCACTGGAGCTTCCTCTTTGTTCTCTGAATTGGACCATTCACTCTGGGGACCGCTGCTGCCATGTCACACAGACCCACGGGGACAAGGAACTGAGGCTTCCTGCAGTAGCACCACCGGTGAGCCTGGGAACAGGTCCTCCAACCCTCGTCATGCCTTCTGATGATTGCAACCTGGCCGGACACTTGGGCTGCAACCTCAGAACAGATCCTGAGGCAGAGGCACTGAGCTAAGTCTCCTCTGAATTCCTACCCCACCAGAACTGTGTGATAATAAATGTTTTTTTTTTTTTAATTAAGCTTTTAATTTCAATTCTAGTATAGCTCACATACGGTATTGTATTAGTTGTTTGTTGTTTTATGCCATTAGGATATAGGTCCCTTGGGCGAGTTGCCTCCTCTCTCTGGTTTTTGTTTGAATATGGCGGCAGCTGGTGCTCACACATGCTCTGCATGTTCAGTCCGTCTTGTGGGACTAGCAGCACAATAATGGCCCCATTTTACAGATAACGTAACTGAAGCTCAGAGAGGCCCAATGTCATACCGCCCAGAAGCGGCTGAGCCAGGATCTCCACCCAGAACACCCCACGGGTTAGTCACCCACACTGGAGGATGGAGTCTCACAGGCCTCTCAAGTGCAGCCTGACCCAAACCAGCCATACCCCTCCTTCACACATAACCCCAGTTAGAACCTTCGGCAGCCATACCCTCATCACATGCAGTTGCCAAGAAAGCCCATCACCACAGCCACTATCTCCTCCCATGTGGACCACTCACCCATCTCCCCACCTCCATCTGTCCCTCTCTACCCTAGTGTCCACCTCTGCCACTTCTCCACCTGCACTTCTGCTGAGACAGGTCTCTAAGCCTTAGCCCATACTGGTTCCTTCCCGGGAGTGCCCTCACCTCCCTCCCTCCTACTCTTCACACCAATTCCTTCCACCTCCGGGGGCAGGCACCTTCCCCATCACTTTCTGATCCTGCAATAGACCGGGTCCCTTCGCCCACTGAAGTGCCTCATACCTGATCTTTCCCCACATTATCTCTCAATACAAATTTCTGCAGATGTGTTTGTCTCACCTGGAGGGCAGGGCCCCCTCGGAGGCAGGCACTGGGCCTAAATAATCACTGGATGCAGTGCCTGGCATCAACTACTGTTTATTATATGAACCTCTACACAGACCCTCCCTCTGACTGCACATTCACAGGTTCCCTCAGGTGTCCCAGGGACAGAAGCACTCACACATGCTGAGTGCCTCTTGTGTAATGGGTACTGCTAAATCATTGCTTTGCCTGCATTCGGTCATCAAAGCTGCTGCCTGGACCTTGCAAGCAGAGGCCATGATGACTTCCACTGCCCGAGGAAACTGTACCTCGGAAAGGTTGCACAGACAGTGAGAGGCAGGGCCAGGATGAGTCCTAACAGGCTGGCACTGAGCCCACGTTCCTATCTACCATGAGTCCTGCCTCCCTAGAGCCTAGTCCAGAACCTAGCCCCGAAAAGCCAACCAGAATGTACCTCCTCTCCAGCCTTGCCCCTGGCTCCTGAACCTAGCATGCTCCTGCCAATGGCACCCCTCCCCTCCTCTTCTCCCAGTTCTGCAGGCCCCTGCCCCCCCTGAAGACAGGTCAATGCCACACCCTAAACCAAGGCCTCAAGCAAATGTCAATTTCTACCACTGCTCTCTAGAGATCTTAGCACAGGGGCCTGGGAAGGCAGAGGTGAAGAAACACAGAACACTGGCAAAAAAAAAAAGAAAATCTGTACAGCTCAAATACCCATCGGTGGAAAGGGAGGCACAAAAAGTGTGGCTCATTCAGCCCCTAGAATACCACACAGCTGTCCAGGACTGAGGCAGGGTGACACAGAATCCTCTCGAAGACATAATGACAAGAACAACGTTAGAGGGCAATGCATTTGTATGATCCCTTTTTGGACTAAAAAGCTCACGAAACATTTTTCTCCAGTTTCTAAATATCTAAAATATTTTTTAGAATCCATTCTAGGAGCCAGCTCTGTATGGTGTGTGGGTGGGGGACAATCGTGGGGGACTGTTACCATATCTGTAAGGTGTGGATGATCCACTGTTTGAACACAGAAATAAAGGAAAAACTACAATTTTTGAAATTTAAGAAAAAGAAAGCTGTCACAACCACCTTAAAAAAAAAAAAAAAGAGGCTTAGGAAAAGAAAACAGAAGGAAAAATGGATGGGGCTGGCATTCTGCCCCCTTCAACTTTTTAGTCTAACTCTTTTTCTGTAGTAAATGTGTATTTTCTTTAAATGTTTATTTTGAGAAAGTGAGCAGGCACACGCGTGGAGTAATGCATGGGGGAGGATCAGAGGGAGCAAATCCCAAGCAGGCTCCAAGCTCAGTGCAGAGCCTGACATGGGGCTCAATCTCACCCCAGAGATCAGGACCTAAATAGAAATTAATTTCGAGTTGGAGGCTCAACCAACTGAGCCTCCCAGGCACCCCAGTAAATGTGCATTATATTTAATTTGTTTTTTAATAGCCATGACAGGACAGAGGTGGACAGGAAGGGCCTGGAGGAATGGCTGAATTGCATAGAGACTTGTACACTAGAGATGCTCAATGAATGCTCACTGATGCAGAAGCTGAACCTGTAGCTTGTTTCAAAGACTGTCCCAAACAAATGCCAGTGCAGAGGGTCAGTGGAGGCCACAGCTCATATGGCCAGTGGCTACCCAGAGGTACAGGAGTTGGGAGGTATTGGAGGGCAAAAGCTGGGCCCATGTTTCTGGGCTTTAGCTCCAGGATGGTGCCAGCCCTCGCCCCTACCATCCACTGACAGGAAGTGGCTACTATCACTTAAGTCCTGTTGAGGGCAGGGGTTTTTAGTTGCTTGTGTCTACTACCTCTTGGGTGTTCACTAACTCAACAACAGCTGAATGAATGGAATGCTCAGGCTCACAGAGGCTGCCTCTGACACCACTGGGGGTGGGGTGGAGGACATTTCCTCAGCCCAGTCTCTGGCAGTCCCTCTGAGCGTGGAGCTCAGCTTCTACAGCTCCAGGCCTGCTAAGTACTTATCAGTCAGCTAAATGCAGTTTTCATGTCCAGGACCCAAGCTGGCACCGGCAGAGACAGGCCACTGGGATATAGGTGACCCACCCCTGGTAGAATCCTCCTCCTTTCTTTCACCCATTAGAAGGGTCTGTGAACTTCCTTCGCCCTCTATTAGCATCTCCAGGAGGCAAGGCATCTCGGTGGTTAATTGGTTAACCGCTCAGGAAGTTTGGACTGGCCCCACCATTTCACTAAGCTGAATGACCTACCATCTCTGGGTCTCAGCTTCTCTATCTGTAAAAGGGGATGGTTGTTGAGAATTAATTGGGTGAAGTGCTTGGCACAGAGCCTGACACACAAAACAGTCTCAAAACAATGGTGGCTCCTATTGTTATTATTATTAGCATCTTGGTGATTCCGGAAGGAAGGCAGAACTGGGCGTGAGGCCAAGGGAGTTAGGGGAGACTTGCTGGGATGCCTCAGGGACCAGCTGCCACCCAGGCCCCCATAAGCAGTTGGACAGCTTCCACCTCCTTGCCCTGGGCTCTGCCTCACCCCTCCCACTTGTTCCAAGCCCCCTGCTGAGACCCCATCCTGCCAGGCTGGCCTGGCCCCTGCTTGCCTCCCAAGCCCCACCTTCACCCACAGGCTCTGCCAGTCAAACTGGTCTCCACACCCTGTCCTGAAGCCCACGGGTCCAAGCTCTGGGCCTCTACTCCCTTCTTCCAATTCAGCCACCTCTTCTGCTCCCCCCCAGTCTTGAGCCTCTTGCTGCTCCAGCAGCACTTTATCAAAGCATCTCCCTGGGATGTTTCCTCTCTCCTGGCACTGGGGGCTTCCACTCCAGCTCCCTGAGGCCCAGCCCACCCAGTACTTCCCTGGGGGCCTAGGGGTCTGCCTGTCTCATTAATGAGGTTCCATGGCAACCAGGGCCTGTGAGGGTGGAGGGTGGCAGATGGAAGGACAGGCAGAGGGAGGGGATCAGCAGCTGGCCCAACCACCCCGCCCCTGCAGAGAAGGCCTCCCAGCCAGGAGGCCTGTCCCCAGAGGCCCAGGCCTGCACCTGGCAGTGGAGCATCTAGGCAGGAAGGAGGGTCTCCTCAATGACTCTTCAAAAGTTTGGCTCCAGGACACCCCCCCTTCACCTCCCCAAGGCGCCGTGGCCACTACCCCGCCACGAGTTCTGGTCTGAAGCCAGCAGGCCTCAGTTCAAATCCCTGACCCGCCACTTGCAGCCGTAGGACCGGGGGCAAGTCACTTCCCCTCTCTGGGCCTCAATTCAAGATGGGCACAGTGACAACACTGAGCTCACAGCATGGTTGTGAGTTTTAGCTGGCTCCAAGTCTGCCAGAGACCTGGCATACAGGCAGCGCCAGCTGAATACACGTGGGCCATTATTATCACTGAGTCTGACCCTCGAGCGGCTCTGGGAAGCCGAGGCCCAGAGCACAGAAGCCAACGGGGACTGGCCCGAGGTCACCCCGCACCCCGGGGCGGGGCCCGGAGGCCCAACCCAGGCTCGGCCCCGCCCAGCCCGGGAGCCTCGGCCCACCCCCCTCCCCCGCCCCCGTTGCCTCCTGGCCAAAAACCGCGCCCCGCCCGGGTCAACACGGGGGTCCAGACGCGCACTCGGCCCAGTGTCCCTTGTGTTGTCCGTACCGGCGGGCGGCCGAGTGCAGGGCGCGGCGCGCTGGGTGTGGGCCGGGGCGCCTGCGGCGTGGCGAAGAGCAGCAGGTCGGGGTCGCGGGGGCCGGCAGCGGGCGCGGCGGGACCGGCGGGGGCCGGCGGGGCGCTGCCGTCCTGCGCCGTGG